TATCTCCTCTGGTTCTGAAGGCTTCCCAATGCACAGCCATTCTTTTTCTGATTCAACTTTGCCAAACTTAATTTGCCTAAAGCTTACTTTTAATCAAAAGTAGAAGGGAGACAGGTAGTTTTAGAAGTTCCAGAAACTATGGTGATTGGTTGGTAATTCAGGCCAATTGCTGTCTGTATTATAGACTTCTTTTGTTCTGGAGAGAAGAATGGAATATCTCTATAAAAGGCAGAGCATGGAGCCAGGTTCCGGTCACCCAGAAGTCTTTAAAACTACATTTGCTTACACTTTAATAATGCTGAGAACAGTGCCACAGGAGAGGCATGAGTCCAAAGCTGAAGGTTTCTGTGTTCATGAACATTTTTACTGATGGGAATGTATCAAATCCTGCCAGAAGAGGAAATGGAAAAATAAACTGTGAATGACTGACCTAGTTCATAAGCACCAAAATGAAGGGGGTAATCCTAAGGACACAACACAGACTTCAGTAATTCCCTTTCTGGGTGAATTATAAAACTGTCAGATCAGGAGACTTGAGACATTAGGGCATGATTTGTTCTGTGACAAATAAGAGGAATTTTCCTGAGTTAGATGGAAAGAGTTTCAGAGATTATTAAAGATCCTGATGATGTTGAAAGTCAGACATGGCATGAATCTTCTTTTTCTTCTTCTTCTTCTTCTTCTTCTTCTTCTTCTTCTTCTTCTTCTTCTTCTTCTTCTTCTTCTTCTTTCTCTCTCTCTCTCTCTCTCTCTCTCTCTCTCTCTCTCTCTCTCTCTCTCCTCCCTCTCTCTCTCTGAATAGTGTTCTGTCTCTGTTCTTAAGAACATGAAGAAAAAAAACACAAAATGTGCTCTTCACCTTGGAGGCCTTCCTGCTATATCTGACCAAAAGATCCAGGGATGAAAATGTTGAAGATCCTGTCAAAGAACAGATGTGATGCACCTATGGGACCATAAATATTTAGGGGAAAGAAAGGATGCTAGGTAATGTGGGCAGAAATGCAGAAACACAGCCAAAATTCTGGACTGGCTGGGGTGACAGAAATCAAGACACAAGTGACATGACAGGATTAAAGGTTGTGGACATGCAGCTTGGCCTGCAAGCTTCCTGGAAAGGAATTAGAAGCTTTGATCATTACTCACTGTGGGCTGGCCCAGGAAGTTCATCCTTCAGTCTTTCAAGGGTGAAAGAAGGGAAGGAATTGCCTGTTAAGTTACCACTGAATGTCAAAGTTTTTTCCTCCTTATAGCCTTTGAAGTTGAATTGGTATTGGGGCATAAGGGGCTTGATCTGGTCAACTTAGTATCTCATGGTTTTGACTTTTGTTTGGTAATTTTAAATACCTCTCCATGGAAATGCAAAGCAAATTGTCTTTTCTCTCCCACCAGTATAATTAAAAGAGACAGGATGAAAAGGCCTACAGCTGGAGCATGTTATGCCTTGCCAAAGTATGGGTTCAGGATATGAAGGAAATCCCAATAATTGCAGCAATTGATGGCCCCAGCAGAGAATATGCCTGACAATTAAAAGCTCTGAAAAGCCTGCAGTGCCTCTGAAGACACCATAAAACAGAATTAGGTTAAGACTACACAGTCAAGCAAGAGCTAGTTTGAAGTTGGGCAATCTCTAGCCTCATATTGATGAGCAGGGCCCTTTGACAGTTGTTAGATTTCGTATTCCACAAAATTTCTTCATGTTTTGGGTATCATTTTCATGTCATGAATTATAAACACACGCCTTGCAAGCTTCCCTCCTCACTGTCTAGATCCTCCAGTGCAATAAGAAACTCTGGTACCACAGGTGGAAATGCCAAGAGCAGCCCATAAACTTGGATTAATAAGAAGCACCTCAGGAGTGCTGCTCCCTTGAAGAGCCGTGCATTCATTTAGGTCATCACCACTGACGGATGTGCTTTGCCAGTGTAAGCTTCTGCTTACTGTGGGCTACAAAGCAGAACTGGAAAAGACATCTGGAAACATCTGGCTTCTTCTAGAGCAGTAACATCACAGTATGTTTCTAGACATACTCTGGAGACTCTTCTGATCATTCTCGGTCTCACATATGAAAATTCTCAAGAGGAGGTACTGGTTTGATACTTACATATTATTTTTCCTTGGTAGAGTGATCAAATTTTGTCACTTTTTTCCCCCATTTTACCATCATTTGTCAAGTATTTGGAATACGTGTTTAAATGTCTGTCACCTTTGTTGGGCGGGGCTGTCCAAGAGACTCCTAAAACTTCACAAGCTATTGCTATTGCCCTTGGTTTCTCCCCAGAGATGGAGGACCGTGTACTTCAGACATACTCAGAGGGCTTTGAGCCAGATCTGACTTTAAAGATTAGCTTTAGTAATATCAGAAAGTGACATGAAAACTTCTAAAGGAGGGGAGCAATCAACAGTCCTACCTACCTGTGAACCACGACAATGACCACCGTGGGACAATAACTCTAAGGGTACAGCAGTAGCACACATACCTTGGCAGTAACCAACAGCTCTTTAATTGGATTTAAGACCCATTCAACAAGAAGGAAATCATGCCTGGAAACCTAGCCCACTACCTAAGACTAGTATAGTCATGGATCTTGGAAGAAAACTTACAACCACCACTTTTCTAAACCAGCACAAACCCTAACTACATTCTACATATTTGTTCTTATACAGACAGATAAGTATATTTCTCACACCTCATTAAGGAAACCTACAGAAAACTACAACCAACCAAATGCAGAGTTGAGGAACCCAGTCTCAACCGATACATCTACAACATAACTCATTCACCGAAGGCTCAGGGATCATTGCAGCATAGGGAGCAGAAAGATTGTAAGAGTCAGAAGATCAGGGAGTTTGCTATGAGATTGTGTCTCTTAGAAATGTCAGAGAAGTTACACCCATGAAGCCTCATTAATATGGCTGACTAAACATGACCTGAACAGTGACATGTTAACATGGATGGGGGTAGAAGAAGTTCAGGAGACCTCAACCCTAGTGTCATAGTTAGGGTTTCTATTGCTGTGAAGAGATACCATGGCCATGACAATTCTTATGAAGGAAAACATTTAACTGGAGGCAACTTACAGTTTTAGAGGTTTAGTCCATTATTATCATGGCAGGATATGGCTATGTGCAGGCAGACATGATGCTGGAGAAGGAACTGAGAGTTCTACATCTTGATCCTCAGGCAGTAGAAGGAGTCTATCCCACTGGGCATGGCTTGAGCATATATGAGACCACAAAGCCCAACTCCACAGTGAAACACCTCCTCCAATAAGGCCACACCTCCTAACAGTGCCACCTCCTATGGCCAAGCATTCAAATACATGAGTCTATGGGGGCCATACCTATTCAAACCATTACACCTAGACAGGGAATTTATAGTCAACTAAGGAATGAGGATGGGAGAAATAGTCTTCCCCAGGGAAGAGCTCACCAATTAATTATCCAATATTAAACTGTCAACCCTGAAAACATATAAATACAAGTACATTGTAGTCTGAGAAAGTTTTATTTATGTATTTAGAAATATGTATGTGTGTGTGCATGCATGTGTACGTGTGTGTGTGTGTGTGTCTGTGTGTGTGTGTGTGAGTGTGTACATATGTATAACAACAACTAAAAGAAAAGAAGCCATGAATTTGAAAGAGAGTTAAGGTGACTCTAGAGGGAGGAAGGGAGGGGTGATATAACTATATTATAATCTCAAAAGGTTTTTAAGCCTGGGCGGTGGTGGCGCATGCCTTTAATCCCAGCACTCGGGAGGCAGAGCCAGGCAGATCTCTGTGAGTTTGAGGCCAGCCTGGTCTACAGAGTGAGATCCAGGACAAGCACCAACACTACACAGAGAAATCCTGTCTCAAAAAAAAAAAAAAAAACTAAACTTAAAAAAAAATAAAAAGATTTTTTAAAAATGTCTTCCTACTAAGCCCCTCAAGAAGCACATATCTATGCCTGTAATCCTCTGATGGAGCTGAGTGTGTTCACACCCTCCTCTAGAAAACAACAGCACCCCTAGGAGACTAGCTTTGCATAAGAAGGAGTTTTCCCCCAGCATTCTTATAACACCAAATTGAAGGTATCTCCAAAAGTAGTCTTCAACTGAAGACTAGTAGAAAATTTCATGCTAAGTCCATCCAGAATAGTACTTAGCTTCCCAAAGAATGCAACAACGCTACAAGAACTGACCTAGAGGGATGGATGCCCACGGTATATTGCCAAAAGAGAAAAGCACTAACGACGTACAAAGTGTCATTTCAGATTGTGGAAATCAACAATGACACCATGTATTTAGAGCCATGGAGAGATGTCCATCAGGCTGTAACAGGGGCTCCCTTCAGGATGATGAGGAAGTAAGAGAAAAGAAGTGTGGGAGAGGCTGAGTAATGCTAGGAAATGCAAGTATCCTCAGACCACAGTGACAGGGAGAAACGCACAATGGATGTTTGCAGCAATATTTTTTTTAAAGATACATGCACTTTTATCAGTCCTACTAGTTGCTGCCAGGCTTGGTTCCTACCACTTTAAATAGACTACCTCACTTCCAGCCCACACAAAGCTTGTGGGGAAGATATTGTAGGGACGAAGTCTTGGTTCTGCGTCTTTGAGAAACCTAACACAAATATTGTACCTTTAATTCTACTTCCTAAACTACCTACTGGTTGTGCATCTAAACCTCATGCAGTTTCCAGACAAACTATTTCCATGTGTATTCCTATGTATATGATACACTTAAGATGTCCAGAACAGAGACTGAACCGGGCTTGGAAATCAGTCTTCTGAACGTCTTCATTATCCTCTTCCCTCCCTAGCATATACATTCCAAGCACCATATAGCCACTGGCCATTAGTGAGCAGAAGATGAAGAGGGCAGAAAGACCTGGGAAGGAGAGCGGCTATGATATTTGCACTGAAAGGATTTCAAAGAGTTACACACACCACCGAGAAATTCCAAGCAACCGATGATTAAGATCCAGGGCAAAGTGAAATGAAAGGGTGCAGCTTACCCCTCAAAGCAGTGGGCAACTGTCAGAACCCACTTCTTGGCAATGAGGACACAGCCACAGATGTGTCCACTGGGTTCACTCTGCAGAGAGCATTGCCAGGGCCACCTCCCAGGACGACTAGTCCGACCCCCAAGGATCCTCTTGTTCATCCGAGCAGCAAGGCGGCGACCACAGTCTAACAGGGAGCAGAAACCACAGTCCGTGATTCACCACCAAACCCAAGCAGATTCTCAGCTCTGGTTGTCATGCATAAATGGTCCTGCCTCCCAGGAGCCAGCACAGTTAAATTAATGTCATATCCCATGATATACCACCAGTCTCACCTTGCTTAGCACACAGAAGGGAAATCTTACTTCTGCTTGGACAGGACTGCCTAGGTTTGGAAACATAAAATGTTACAATGTTAAGTTGCATGCTTACTGTTTACCTGAAACATGCTATCAACATCAGGCAACACAAGGCCCACTATCAGGGGAGTTTATACTCCCTGAGTACAGATGTCTTACTGTAAGACTTCTCAGGGCACACGTAGAGTCTTAACCTTCAATGGGAGAATGTACACTACTTGTTTTAGTTTCTTTGCTTCTATAACAAGGCGTCACATTTATGGAAAGAGAAATTCTTATCATGAAGCTTCTTACATCATCTCATTTGATAGAATCTATAGTGAGGGATGAACATATCATAAATGCCCCCCCACCCCCAAAAAACCCAAGATATAGACTGAGAGGAATAAAATATTACTTTACATTTTTAAATAGAAGATAAAGGAATAGGACACTTAGACTAGAAAACATCTTGCCCAGACTGTCAAGGTTAAACTGTGGGTCTAGGAAGATGTAACAGGAAAAAGTGAGCTTGAATTTGTTCTATATAATTCCACGTGGCATAACATGCTTATGTATGTATTTGTGTGTGTGTGTGTGTGTGTGTGTGTGTGTGTGTGTGTGTGTGTGTGTGTGTTTACGTATGTAGAGGCTAGTGGCCATTTTTGGTTGGTATCTTCCTCAGGTTTGAGCTAGAACATCTCCCTAGGGATTCTCCTGTTTCTATCTCCCTGGTACTGAGTCTCCCTGGTACTGAGATTATGTGTGCTCCCAGATCTTCTTAGTGTTCATGCCAGGGGTTCAAATTCAGGTCTCCACATTTAGACAGCAGGTACTTTATCACCTGAGCTGTGTCTCTAAGCCTCGGACCCTTGATATCTGAAACAATGTTGCCTACTGCCTTCAAATCTCTGAATGAACTCAATTGGTATATGTTTCTAGGGATCAAATCTTTCTCTCCTTTCATTTACATCTACACACTTTCTGAGACTAGCCCTGGACTTAGTGTAAAAAGACATTCAAAAATCAGTTGAGAATTATTTTATTTTTTTAAATTATGGCTTTTGGGTAGAGACTCATAAAGATTCCCCACCCCACTCCTTGCAGCAAACTTGTTACATAATATCTCATTTAGTTAGGGAGCCAGGTCTACAAACCCCCAAAGTGGGCTGGTTATTTATTTATTTATCTATTTATTATTTATTTATTTATTTATTTATTTATGTATTTATTTATTTGTTTATTTAACCCAAAGGGTTTTTCCCACACCCAGGGCTTAGAGGAACATCATTGTGTTGAAAGGTTTAGGACATTGGCTTGGAGAAAGTACTTTATTTGACAAAGTATTAAGAAATTTGGGGGCTATGTTTAACCAATGAGGAAACCGTATGATTTTCTGAGGGGTGAAAAGCCACTTTTAGTTTTCTTCTTTGGAGTTCTTCCGATGTGCTCTATCTAGCACTTACATTTTGTAGCAGATAAATGAAGCAGAGCTTACCATCACTGACTCTATGTAGGCTGTGGCCTTTGACATAGTTGTTTAAATATTCTTAAATTTAACCCTTAGTTTCCTCAGCTGTTAAAATAATTATAATTCAGGAGTTTATTGTGAGGAATTAACGGGTCAATCTAAATAAGACAACCTGTAATGTAATAAGTGTTTAATAAGAATTCATTCCTTGGGCTGGGAATATAGCTCAGTGGCAAAGTACTTGCCTAGCATGCAAGAAGCCTTAGCGTTGAGCCCCAGGACCACAAAAATGTTCTTATTAAAAATCAAGATAAGCCGGGCGGTGGTGGCGCACGCCTTTAATCCCAGCACTCGGGAGGCAGAGCCAGGTGGATCTCTGTGAGTTCGAGGCCAGCCTGGTCTCCAAAGCGAGTTCCAGGAAAGGCGCAAAGCTACACAGAGAAACCCTGTCTCGAAAAACCAAAAAAAAAAAAAAAAAAAAAAAATCAAGATAAATCTTTTAAAAAGGAGGAGGCTGGAGGGGTGACTCGGCAGTTAAGAACATGCAGTACTCTTGCTGAGGACCTGAGTTCTGTACTTAGAACTCACATCAGGAAGCCTGTCACTCAGAGTTCTGGGAACCTGGCACCCTCTGGCCTCATGGGGGAGCACCTGCATTTATGTGCATACATTCACACACATACATAATATGAAATTTATAACCCAGATACATAAATGAAAACAAATCTTGAAATAAGAATCCATTCCTTCCACTGACTCTCCTGCTACAGCCTCAATAACCAAAGGAGAAAAACTTGGTTAACATGTCATCATTTAAGAGGGGAAGGTTGTCAGGGCTACATAACCTCAGTTTTACTTGGTGTTTATTATTTCCTCAAACTCTAACTTTTTAGTAGTATTACTTAATTCTTCCTGTTAACTAGTCCAACATAGTATCTGCAGTTGTAAGAGTTCATTTCAAAACAAGACATTTAAAGACTTAAGATTTGATCTCAAGCTTTTCCCCTAACATAATAGTTCCTGTAGTTCCAACTGAATGTGAAATCTGTCAAAATTCACCCTATCAGTGAAGAGGAAATTGATGTTGAAATGTAAAGTTTAAGAGATATTCTGTGAGTTATTTACTGGTGTGGCAAATTTGAGTGCTTTCGTGTTAAAAATAGAGGAAACGTCCTTGATCAGTCCTTGATCCATAATGTGCACATACATGGCTGCTGTGAGGTTCCTACCCATGCTCCAGCAGCTCCTGCAAGGTGGTGGCATTGAGATCCTCCCAGCTCGAGTGCAACCTCAGCCAGTGCTGGCCTTCTGGTCCTTGTATCGGTTCAGTCATGGATGGTTCTCTGATAACAAAGCAAATGCTGGGTAAATATTCTAAGGATAGTGGTCTTTGTACAGGCATTATCGTTATTCATGTCTCATTTGTTTTAAAAATATATCACATTGTAAATCAATATTTCCAGAAAAGAAATTCATTCAGGAGAATTTGGAATGGAGTATGATTAGCAAATGGGGAAGGAGTTAGTAAAAGTATACACATGTGATAACAAACAAAATTACTGTTGACATTTGAACATCATGAGGTATTAGAATTGTAACATCTACAAGTTAAAACTTCCAAAACCTAAAAGCAGAAGTCCAAAGTAAATAATGAATTTTTTTTCTGTCTCTTTCCTTCTTCATTATAATCCCAAAATACATTAAGGCCCCAAAATACAGAGACTCAAAGGCCAATTACTAGGTGAATACTATAAAATTGTAAGTAGGCCAGGCAGTGGTGGTACACATCTTTAATCTTAGCACTTGCAGGGCATAGGCAGGCAGATCTCTGAGTTCAAGGCCAGAATGGTCTACACAGTGAGTTCCAGGACAACCAAGGCTACACAGAAAAAGCCTGTTTCTAAAAACCGTAAATAATTGTAAGTGGATTTTCCTCAATATATCACAGAAACTTGATGCACTGAAAACTAAGAAGGACTTAGGAAATATATTAGTGTAATTTTGTCCTGTTTCTTATATTCTCACTCAGTTTTCACTGACACTTTTCCCGTGGTTGTCTTTTTTAGTTACACTGATTAAGATGATTCCACTGTTTTCTAATATTCAAAAGATTAGGCATCAAAGAATTTAGGTTTTTATACAAAATGTTGATTTAATTGATTTTCCCCTGGGTGATTCATATCAAAAGGACCAGGCCCGTTAGTTACTTTGGGAAGAGACCCCACAAAGTACCACACGCCGTGTGCCTTATCATTCCCTTACCACAAGCTTCCAACAAAAAAAACCAATTAGCTCAGTTCCATCGAGTGGAAAGCTTGAGAAAACCCTCAGTAGGGAGAAGAGAGCTTTGTTATAAAAATTTGTTTTCACGCCTTCTGAAATACTGAGATGTTCCTCATGCACAAAACTAACTCTTCCAATCCTGGTGATGGTGCCTATGGCTTGTTACTCGACAGGGTCAGTGAATCCACAGAACTCACTACTAAACATAGTGGATCCATGAGATTCATGACTAAACAGTTGGTGAATCATCAGTGCGGATCTAGCAGAGAGAGTTTGAACATCAACATGGTTTCAAGTTTTCTTTCCAAATATATTAAAATAGCTTTTTAGAGAAAGATGTTATGTTGAAGGTGCACAATGTGATGCATTTATAGACATCTGCATCGTGAAATGGTTTTGACACTGTTTTGTTGTGAGAATGAATAATTCTAATGAATTTCCAGTAAACAGAACATAACATGGTAAAGTCATCACACTGTTCATTACGTCTGATCATTCATTCATCCATTCAAGTGATAATTATTTCATCTTGTCCCCCGTTTTCTGGTCCCCAGTGACTGTCATTCTGCTAGTCTACTGTCCAGTGTTGAAGGTGACTCTTTTAGATTTGCAGGTAAATGGATGGAACTAGAAAATGCTATATTGAGTGAAGTAGACCAGACCCAGAAAAACAAACATTATGTGCTCTCTCATCTGCAGTTCCTAGCTCCAAATCTTCAGACATGAATATATAACCTGGGTGACTGCAGAAACCAGGAAAGTAAAAAGGGGACCACGGGGGATCACTAAGCAGGGAAATAAAAAGATGCAAGTGATTTTGAAGAGGTAAATGGGTAATGGGGTGTTAATTGTGATAGGGAAAGAGAGAGGTCAATACAGAAGGAAGGGAGAGGGGAGGCTAGAGTAACACTGAGGAGGTCTGAAAAAGCCATAAAGAATCATATTAATACTTGTTTACCCAAATTACATACAGCAGATATAAATCTATATATACACACGTATATACATACATACACACACACACACACACACACACACACACACACACACACACACAAATAGTAAATAGTTCAAATGAAATTATCCCACTTGTGCTGACAATACTCTCCCACAAGAGCCCTAAATTATCTAATAAAAACCTCAATACCAAGCATGAGGAACTCCCTTTCAAATTGTTGGTCAGGGCTGTCAAAGAGACTTCCCAAACAATATAGGCTAGTGCTGTTGCCCTTGGTCACCTCCCAGAGGTTGAAAGTAAGTCCCTACTGCTGAAGACACCATGAACCTCAGACACAGGACATGGAGGATCTCAGTGGTTCTGACCTGAATGCCTCCTCTTTGAGGACCAGCTATGCAAGTTCTAAGGGAGGGAAGCAACTAAGTCCTACCCAGCTGCAACACCTATAAACCAAAGTGATAACCAGAGTGATGACCAGAGTGGCACCTTAACTCTAAAGGAAAAATAGTGTCACTCATGTCTTGGTGGAAGCCAACAGCTCTCTGCTTGGACTTAAGACCCACTCAACAGGAGGGAAATCATGCCTGGTACCGGAAACCTGGCCAATCACCTGGGGCTAGTGAAGCCATGGGTCTTAGAGGAGAATGGATGACTACCACTTTACTAAACTAACATAATCCCTAACTGCATCCTAAATATCCATCCTTATGCCCACAGACAAATGCAGCTCTCTCCCCTCGTTAAAAAAGCTTCTTTTTGCAGTAGGTGGAGGTCATTACAGAAATCCACAACTGATCAAAATACAGAGAACGAGTCATTCGTGGGTGCCCAGCCACAAGTGATAAATCTACACCACAATTCCTGCATCTGAGGCATAGGGAAGAGCACAGAAGAAGGGATAAGGAGAACATAAGAGCCAGAGGACCAGGAAAGCTGCTGTGAGATCGTGTCTCCTAGAAACGACAGAGAGGCTTCACCTACGATCCCTCAACAACATGGCTGCCTAAACTAGACCTGAAGAAACACACCACCAATAGAAAGCTATGGCAGAAGAGGGAGATCTCATGGGGCCCACCTCCAGACAATGAATTACAGGCAACAAGGAATGCTGAAAATAAGAGAAATAGTCTTCCCTGGTGATGAGCCCTATAAGCAGTGATCTGATACCAGGAGGTCATCCTTCAAATTATATGCGCACAAGTGACACTAAAGGAACTTAGCAGGATACACACACACACACACATACACACACACACACACACACACACACACACACACCCCACAGAGGCCTATATGTATAGAAACTGAAGAAAAACATCATGATTTTGGAAGGAGCAAAGCCATCTGTACACTTCTGACATTATTCCTTAAACCACAAGTATTTATACAGGATTTTCACTGGTAAATACAGTATCATTAGTAATCTAGAGATGATTTAAATATGTAGAAGGACACATCTAAGTGGTGTGCAAATAATATATCATTTTTATAAAGGTATTAATTATCTATAGAACTGAGGTTGTAGAAAGGTCCCCCTGTAGAGAGCAAGGCAACTGTGCTCCACACAGAAGCAAAAGATGCCCACAAATGTGTGATTTCCCCCTTGTTGAAATGAGATGTCAAAACTTATTCAGAGTTCTGGAATGTCCTGACAGATGACATTTTGTTTTGTTTTGTTTTGGTGTAGGCATCAATCTCAGGCCGCATGAACACTGGTTAAGCAATTGACGGATGAGCTGTGTCCCCCAGGCACATCCTGATACTTTGAAAGGAACTGTCATCAGATCATTAGACAATTCAGACCATTCTGGTTCCATCTTCATTTGTGGGCCTGATGTGTAATAACAGGTACCCCATGATCCTGTTTTAACTGGCCTTGCTTACTTTAAGAATGCAAGTGAGCACAAGTCTCCAGAAGACAGGGGCCCTGTACCTAGACATCAAGAGAACAGCAAGAGCTTACACATGTCCACAACACAATCAACCCTGTTGTAGTGTGTCTGGTGCTGAGGAAGAAGAACCCCAGTGTTGACTCTCAGTGCTTGAGAGCTGGTATTGAAATTCAAAGGCCTGTTTAGGCGACAGGCTCAGTTTTTTGTCCCTAGTACCCTGTTCAGAATGTGGAACATTTCCGTGAGACTACTTAGGATCCAGCTTCCAAAGTCTTTTCTTGGAGCCTATCATATCATTATCCTTATTTAGGTCCCACTTTGTAGATAAAACTTAAGGTAGAACACAACTCTGGGTCTATTACAAGATAAGTAAGCGGAGGCTGGTTACGTTACTTATCAAACTGAAGAATGAGCTAGCGATTTTTGACAGAGTGGCATTAGTGGGTTTCAGACAAACATGAATGAATATTATTATTGAATCATTTGTCGTTTAGACAGCTCAGATTACATTTGCCATAGCACAACTCTCTTTGAAACAATTGTTTGGAGTGGGGCATAAAGTCTGAATCTATCTTCCTAGTAAATTAATAATTTAAAAAATATGCTTTTATGGACATTCCAATTGAAAATGTATAATCTATTTGTCTATTTCATAGGTGGAATATAATGATTATATTGGGCGCAATCTATAGGTATAAATGACAAAACCAGCTTTAAGGAAAAAGAGGAAGTTATTACCTTATAGTAGTAAAGTATACCTTATTTTTTATTTAATTTATTAATTATTAATTTAATTAATATGCCTTCAGTTTCACAATATTAAAAACACTGAGTATTTAATCAATTTCAGTATGAAAAGTTGTGAAACTATTAACTGAAGTAAATGTTTATTAATCATAGCTATCAATTAAATAATATTGAACATTAGTATTAGAATATTAGTAACAGTATTTAAAACACTCAATTTAAGTGGTAAACAGCAATCAACCATAGACATTATAAATTAAAATATTGCTCAATAATAAAATTCAGTCTTACAAAACTCAGTCAGTTGTGTCAAGTGATAAGTATATTTTTGTGTGAATACATTCTTTGTCTTTCTGGATATTTTGATGGAAACTCCCATCTCTTTTTTGATAATTTAGAGAAGACATTTTGGGGCATCCCTTTGCCTTTCTGACACATGAGACTCAAGCCTTTTATTGACAGC